CTGCCATGTGATTAGAAATTTGCATTAACGAACAGTTGGACGGGTCTACCTAATAAAGTGGCCAGTGAGTGTATTTGGATATTATAGCATGACATACTATAACCAGTTGGTGTGCAAATGAATGTATACAGTTGTTTAAACCAGTTCATTAAAGCAAACCATCTAAATCTGAGCACAGTTAGCAAGAAAGAGTCAAATTAATACTTAATTAGTTACAAATTAATAATTAATACTTTTTTTAACTGAAAAGAAGAGTCAATTAACATTATGGAATCGATTTTGAAATTTAGAATTTAATCTTGATTCTCAAGCCCTCGGAATCAATTCCCAGCCTTACTTGTGTAAACATGTCCTCAAGACCCTCATGACTTCAGTGACAACTTAAACAACAAAACTAAAGTAAGCAGCAACCCCTTAACCTAGCCTAGTCCTTCCTTTTCTTCCATTGCCCTTTGTCTTTGTCCTACAGTATACCAAAGCTCTTCACTGAGACTCGGCCAGAGAAAGTGACATAAGGATGAGGAGAGAATAAAATGACAAAGGGTAGAGAGGAAAACCATAATCTTGGTCCTGTTCCCTGAAAACACTTCTGCTCAAGTCCTAAACCAGCTGAGAATCCCTCAGTCATGATGTCTAGTGCTGGATGCCACTCGGCGGATGGCCTTGTACTCCCACATCTCCTTATAGCTGGAACTGATCCTCCAGCTATGGGTGGCGAACAGAGAGCCTCCTGATCCATTCGAATTCCCAGAGTAACAGACTCCTCTCAATCCTTAAGCTCACTAGCAGCACTCACTGGAATATCCGCGGTTATGGCTCTCCACATCCCTACATCTTCTTGGTTTTCAACAATAAGAGTTTGTAAGAAAAGGTCTTTAAAGAGGCACATTTATGAACTTTTTAAATACTGACATGTAACTTTAATATACACAACTTAATGTAGAAGTCATGACCATTGCTTTCTATGGAGGGTCACATTGGTTTCCATCCAAAATATCTTAATTTTTGTTCCAACGATGAACGAAGGTCTTGAGGGTTTGGAACTACATGACAGTGAGTACTAATTAACAACAGAACTAAATTGGGGGTCGGGTGAACTATCCCTTTCATGACAAAATAAACAAACAAACTGGCTAACAAAACAGTGACATGTAGCAGGATTTGTCTTCTCTCCTCTTATTTTGCCATTTCTCTTTCTTTTATCCTACCCGAGCTCCCCCATGGGACATGAAAGCAGTGTGGTGTACAGGTGATGCTCATTACCACTCCTGGGGCTTGAAGCAATGAAACCCACTTACCACAGTCGCATTCGATGTCACTATTGCAGAAGCAGGTGGTGCGATATATAAGTATTACTGTACAAACAAATCTATGTTATGTGCAAGCAAGAAAACAAATGAAAAATAACGTCTATATCTATGATTGTAATAATAATCTATATGTTTGATCCCATTTTATTATCTTTTATTATGGTACTATTCAATAAAGTTATGCAATAGATGTTATAATATACTGCACATACAATGATACCATTTTAGTTATATTACAAAAATATTACGAATTTTAAAAGTAATTAAAAGATAAGACACACATAAAAAACTGAGCAAGCACAACAAATAAAAAATAAAACAACCTCTTGCCTCCCACCCCAGCTATGGGACTAAATCACACTGATAGTACTGTCAACACTGTATGATTAATCGGGCTGCAGTGTCAAGATATAGCAGAAGAGAAGAACACATATTTTCAATGTTATCCAATTTATTTACCAGCAAGAATCATTTTTTCTCCCCAGATTTATTTATTGTTGTTTTCCAAATGAGTTTCTGTTGATTAAGATTAAGATGATTTTCTTTGCCACATCAAATCTTTACACTTAAAAAAATGCTTTGTTTTTGTTCAAACTTCATATGTGAAACAAGCGGAAACAACACAATTCTTGAGTTCTATAGGGCCAACTTTATTGTTTTATATTCGGTCTAATTAAATTTGTAAAAACTATTAAGTTAACTTAACTTTAAAAAAATATTTGTGTGGAATCCAGTATTTCGTACAGTTTGGGACAGCAGTTGTTGTTGAGATTTCCTTAAGAGACAATAATCTTCTCAGAAATTCCAAATATTACAAGATGAGGGTCAGACTCAAATTTATTGCATAGAAGATCTGTTTTGAAGTACTGAATATTTCAGTCTAGAATGAGATTAATTTAAGAAAAGGCATCTTAATGTTGAGAGTTGAGATCCTAAAGTAGTTGTCTGGTGGTGCTTCAGTGGGCTGAAATGAACTATACGAACAGGCGAGGGAATGACTCAAGGCTGACTGCACACCAATTGATGAGATCAAGAGTGTCCCGGGTCAATTAGCACCTTGCTGCTCTATTTCGAAGTGAAAATTTACTCCAGTGAATGAGAACACAACTGCAACTGGAATATCAATGTATCAGACACAAGGTCTGCTTGACTCAGTGCACGCAGCTTTAATAGTGTTTGCATTGAGACTGGATCAGTTATTCTGAGCTTATAAAGGAACAGTGCAACCTGAAAAGTTGTGTTTTTTTATTTTCTTGTTGAAAACCTGTATGACTGACTTTCTGATGCTGAACACAACAGGAAAAGTTCAAATGGCTGATTTCTGTACAATGAAGATCCATGTGAGATGAAGTTTTTTATACTACTGTCATACCGGATGCTTGATTCTGATTGGTTGAGGAATATTCAAAGGCATAAGCACACAGCTAAAACATTTTCTTGACTAGGCATGGGACGATAACCATGTTCAAGGTGTTTAGGTGTGGAACCATAGTATAAGAAGAATAACTGATGTCTGTTAGTGAAGCCCATTATCAGTTATTACAAAATGTCTTGAGGACTTCAATAACATTAGCATGAGTTTGAAACAAATTGAGTTTTCATTATTGTGTAAATTACTCCCTTAAAATACAATGATTTATCTTTTTGCCTTTTGGATTCCCAAATGTAACCCTGGACCACAAACCAGTCTTATGTTATACTGGTACATTTTTAGCAATAGCCAAAAATACATTGTATAGGTCAAAACAATAGATTTTTCTTTCATGCCAAAAAGCATTACAATATTAAGGAAAGACCATATTCTATGAATATATTTTATACATATTCTACTGTAAATACATCAAAACCCAATTTTGATTAGTAATGAGCATTTCAAATTCTGTGAACCCTGAGAATCCAGGATTTCAAAAAATGGTATCTCAGCCAAATATTGTCATAGCCTAACAAACTTTCAGTTCAAGTTTATTTGTATAGCGCTTTCACATTAATTATTTTTTCAAAGCAGCTTTAGAAAAGGTGCACATTATTGCATTACAATCAAAATCAGAAAAGTTAATGTTATTAGTTAATACAGTATAAGTTACTAATAATGAATTGAATTCATTAACTAACAACTAATTACTTATAACTTTATCAGTTAAAGTTACTAAATATATTCATAGTTAACAGTTAACTATGTTATACAGGTATACAGGTATTGTCTATGTGTACATGTTCAATGAGGTGTATTGTGTATTAGGTGTACACTACCTGACAAAAGTTTTGTCGTCTATCCAAGTTTTAGGAACAACAAATCATAACTTCACTTTTAGTTGATCATTTGGTTTCAGAAGTGGCTTATATAAAAGGCAAAGGCCTCTAGATTACACTTATTTTACCAGAATAAAATATGATCATGCCTTGATTTTTAATTGATTATTTAGGACAGTAAGTTCTGAATTTGCTTAGAAAAAAGTCTTGTCACTTAACAGAAATAATGCACAGTATAGAGTATAAAGTCATGGTGCAATGGAAAAAGAATTAATGTTGTGCATAACTCCCATGAGCTTGAAAGACTGCATCCATACATCTCTGCAATGACTCAGATAACTCCCAGAGTTCATCAAGATTCTGTGGATTCATCTTCATAACCCCTCCTTCATCTTACCATAGACATGCTCAATACAGTTCATGTCTGGTGACTGGACTGGTCAATCCTGGAGCCTCTTGACCTTCTGTTCTTTCAGGAACTTAGATGTGGAGGCTGCAGTATGAGACAGTGCCTATCCTGCTGAAGAATTTGCTCTCTCCTGTAGTTTGTATTGTAATGGGCAGCACAAATGTCTTAATACCTCAGGCTGTTGATATTGCCATCAACTCTACACATGTTTTGCATGCCCCCATACTGAATGTAACCCCAAACCATGATTTTTTCCTCACCAAACTTGACTGATTTCTGTGAGGGTCCATGCGGGTTCCAATAGTTCTTCTGCAGTAGTTGTGATGATTGGGATGCAGTTCAACAGATGATTCATCTGAAAAATCTACCTTCTGACACTTTTCCAAATGATCAACTAGAAGTCAAGTTATTATTTATTACTTTTACAACTTGAATCATTGACAAGACTTAATAATAACAGGTAGAGTATGTGTTGTCCAAACCACACATCAATGGAATTTTAATTTGTTCAGCTTTCGGTTGATGTTTAAATCTCAGTTTCAAAAAGCCTGACATTTATGACTGGCTTTGTGTTCCAGGGTCACAAATGTCTTTGTCCTACAGGCATCTTAGCTACTACAAATGGTTTAAAGTGGTTTACAGTGGCTTTTGTGGAGATGTACTGTTTTGGGTCAGATAATCTCTCTGCTTGATAATGGATTGAAGTAGTCTGGGTGAGAATTATTCCTCTGGTGCCTTTTCACAGCTCATACGGCTGGACATTCGTCTGCTACACAACAATCAATACAGACCTTTATCCACCCACCCGAAATCATTCAGAGGCTACAGTGGGACATATCAGGCTTTGAGAAATGAAAGCAGAGCTCCATAATCTTGTTCCTGTAGCTCTGATGGGAATTGTTTGGGCTCTGACATCGCTTAGTTTGATAATCGATGGTGAGCTCAGTTTTTCTGTCAACACTGGGATGAAGCGGGCGGCTTGCGAAACCACATCTCTCATATATTATCTGACCTCTCTTATTTTCTTCCAGAGCCGAAAGCATGCAAACAAAGTTCGTCTGTATTACATGTTACACCCAGTGGATGGTGGATGTCCTGCAAAGAAGCTTCGAACGGACAATGTAAGTGGAAACAAGTATGCCTTTGTTTTATAAAGTAACACTTTCAGTCACAATTCATGGTGTTAACCATCCCTTCACTGACACTACTATCTTGTAAAACTAATAATTCGCTGTTTATTAATTGTTAGTAAGGTAGAAGTTGTGTTTTTTGGGGTAGGATTAAGGATGCAGAGTATGATCATTGTTTATATATATAATTACTAATGAACAGTTAATATCTTAATCCAACTAATATTGAGGGTCAACACGTTGAGATTGTTAACAGTTGTAAGTACTTATGGATTATTTTAGATGGCAGTTTCAATTTTTTTCGCAGACTATGTTTATAAGAAGGCAACACAGAGACTCTTTGTTTTAAGGAAATTTAATAGTTTTAATGTTAGTAAGGGTATTCTGAGGAAGGATTATAGTCTGCCTGAAAGAATTATCTCCTATAATATTTCTTGCTGGTACATAAATCTTGGAGCTAGAAGCAAGTATAAACTTGCAAATATTATTAACACAGCTAGTAAGATCAGATTGGATCCCCAGAAGTAGCTTGTGAAACTGTATATAAACCAGACCAGACGGAAAGCCTCACAGATAGATCAGGACTCCACACATCCTCTTTATTATGAATTTGAAAAGCTTCCTTCTGGTAGACGATACAGAGTACCCCACAGCAAAAACAAATATTTTTAAGAAATCTTTAATATCGTCTGCTAATAAATGACTATGAAGTAGTTTGTATGTTATTTTGTTGTTATATAGCCAAGGTTGTGTGTTGGTAATCTGTGGTGTAGGAAGTTCTGTGTTTGTGCTCTGTGTTTATGTTTTTGTATTTGTGATGTTTGGGAGGCCAAAAACGACATGTGTGGACAATAAAGATTTCTAATTCTAATTGTAATTGTAATTGTAATTCTAATTCGGTCCCACTTTATATTAAGTGGCCTTAACTAATATGTACTTACAAAGGAATGAATAGTTTGTTACAATGTACTTATTGTGTAAATACATGTATTTATTGTGTACTTGTGCTTGATTAAATACTTGTATAAGTATAGGAAATAATAATAATAATAATAATAATAATAATAATAATAATAATAATAATAATAATACATAAACAAATAAATAAACAACAACAACAACAACAACAACAACAATAATAATAATAATACATAAACAAATAAATAACAATAATAATAATAATTAATAAATTATAAATAATAATTATAAATAAATAAATAAATAAATAAATAAATAAATAAATAAATAAATAAACCATGATAATAATAATAATAAAAGTTATAAAATATTCCCAGAGATGGGTTGCGGCTGGAAGGGCATCTGCTGCGTAAAAACGTGCTGGATAAGTTGGTGGTTCATTCCGCTGTGGCGACCCCGGATTGGTGAAGGGAATAAGCCAACAAGAAAATGAATGAATGAATGAATTATAAGATAAAATAACACTGGAACTTAAATGAACATTGACTGGTCAACAGTTGACTATGTTGCGTATGTCTTTTTACGAATATGTCTTTTAATGCCGCAATCATAGATCATTTGTTGTGTTGATTTGAAGCCTCTTTCCTTCTTAAAAATTGAAGCTGGCAGTTTCATTACTCTGTTGAGGAAGCCAGATGTAGCCACCCCAGGAAAACGGTTTTATGTCTACCACATATTGATTGACATGGATGACCTGCTTGTCTGAGCTTATTACTTCTGTTCAGGCCCTCATCACCCACGTTTCAGGCCATCGGTGGGATGTAGTGAAGTGGATCTTAAGAAAGAGACGATGTGTTTTGTAGCAGCTTTCAAATGACAAATCACTTCATGTCATGTGTTTCTTGTAAATATCTGTCAACTGGACGCAAGTTAAGGTCTGGAAGTTTTATGATTGTAGTGTACACTTTAAAATTGACATTTTTGGCACATATTTAGTATGTTTTTGTGAAAGGGAATCTTAAAATTCATCATAAAAAAGGAACAAATCTGTGACAAGCTTCCATTAAAGAGCATTTTAGGCTTTTTTTGTGGGCTGTTTTTAATGTAACTGTAAACATTGTTCATATTTTATAAACTATTTATTTAACATTAAATAAATGCAATCTAAAATTGTATATGTAATGCCTTATATAAATAAAGAATATATATAAGGATATTTGAGTAAAATTACAAGAGTTTGAGTATAATATAATATGTATTTAGTGTTTTAATGTAAAGTGATGTAATCTCTTTAATGTAATTAATTTTATTTACAATATAGATTGTAATTTAATACATTTTGATAATTTAAACAAAATAAAGTCAGATTGAAACGTTGATATAATTTCATAAAGATTAAATGAGAATCACAAAACTATTCATTATATTATATTATATTATATTATATTATATTATATTATATTATATTATATTATATTATATTATATTATATTATATTATATTATTTCTTGCATCCAGTTTAAATGCATTTTTACATAAATAATTATTGATCTATTATTATATAAAAATGAAATCTCAATGAAAGTATTTAAGTGATATATTATTATAAATGTTTAATATCATGGAACACTTGAAGCATAATATAATATATGTAAAAAAATCTAAACAGCATTTAAGTCAGTCAAATTTAATAAATGACTGAATATTCTCACATCACTGTCTGACATTAGGAAGCAAAGCCTTGTCGGTTCACCAAGTAGGACATTTTCCTGGATTAACATCTATGTTGATCCTGGAACAACATTCCAATCAGCCAATCATAATTAAGGGATATGTTTACAGTTTATGTTAAATTAAGGCTTACAGTTCTACATGATTGTTATTTAACTATTTCCCCTCTGATTTTGGGAATACTTGACAGTTTTAATTGGGTTTGGCTAGGGAATAGGTATGGATTACGTTTTCCAACAAAAATGATGTTCCAGGATCAATATAGATGTTAATCCAGGATCGCATTGCACTTGGCAAGATCATACTGTGCACTTGGACTGTTCATAAACTTAAACCTTATTTTAAAGAAGCAGTCAAGAAATGCAATTAAAAATATTTTAGTCCAAAAATTGAATATTCCAGGCACTTTGAGGGAATGCTGTAAGCTGTTCCGCAGGGAAGTAGAGGTGTTGTAGGTTGCAGATGGCACTACAATGTTTTTTTTTTTTTTTTTCAGATTAATACCATCACTGTTTGCAGCTGCTTCCCCCTAGTTCTTCCGCATTTCTATGTATTTTGATAGATCCTGTGCCACTGTGTGTGTTTGTCTAAAGCCCTATTCTCAAACATTTTTAATATAAGGGTTGACCTTTTTGCAATATAAACAGCTTTCAAACTTTATTACAACAAATACTTTAATTCAGACAAAAAAAAAAAACCCTATTAAACTAACCTGACACAGACACGCATATAAAGCTTGTAAAGGATTTTAGTACTCAGTTTCTAGTTTATTTCACTCTAACTTGCACTGTAAACTTGTGTCAGTTTAAGACTCCAGGTTGGTAAAATCCTGGCTAAATTAAAAAATTCCTCTGTAATGAAGAGAGACGCTTCTCTCCTGTGTTGATGTGATGATTGTTTGCACCCAAGGTCAATGTCTACACACATTCATGGTTTGGCTGGTGAGGTCTGTCCCTCGGGAGAGTAAATAAAGACGTTATGGTGTGTCAGGAGAGGAATAACAAGAAGCAGGAGTGGACACAGATCGATCTACCACAGTATTTCTCATGTGAAGGAAAGACAAACAGATGGTTTTTAGAACAATTAAAGGGGATATATTGTTTCCTTTTTTCATAACAGGTCAAATAAAACTGGCATCCCCAGAATGTGTCTGTGAAAACATGACATTTTTCAATCTGTCAAAAAAATGATGTTTGATTTTTGTTCAGAGTACCTATTTAAAATAGGCTGAAACACCACAATTCTTGAGGTTATTTGGGGACAGCTTAACTGTTTTATGTTCAATCTACTTAAATTTGTATATTTTAATAAACGAGTGTGTGGAACCCAGCATTTTTTATAGCAAACGAGAGGTAAAAAATCCTGGGATTTCCACAGAATTGATTTGAGTTGGCACAACATGAAGGAATTAAGTTAGCTTATTAGTTTTTAAAAATTTAAGCGAATGGAACATACTGTAAAACAAATAAGTTGTTCTCCAAAAAATAAGTATAAACGAACAGCAAGCATAATTTTTTCAGTGAAGTTATGTGGTTTTCCTTTTGGTTGGTAGACACACCAGGGACCTGACTATAGCACTTAAACACAGAAGACGCCAGGGCCCGTATTCACAAAATATTTTATTTCATGACTAAGAGTTCTCCTAAAAAGCAGTAAACGTACTGTGGCATGTTTTCTTTCCGAAGCAGATTGCCAGCAGCAGCCATTTTATGATAGTTTGTAGTTGGATCGTATGGACTTTGGAGTCCTCTTTACAACTTAAAATGTTTCATTGATTAGGAGCTAGATTTTGAACTAAAACACTGTCAAATACTTTGACAATAATAATACACTACCTGACAAAAGTCTTGTCATCAATCCCAGTTGTAAGAGCAACAAATAATAACTTGACTTCTAGTTGATCATTTGGTAAAGTGGCAGAAGGTAGATTTTTCTGATGAATCATCTGTTGAACTGCATCCCATTCATCATCACAACTACTGCAGAACACCTATTGAAACTCGCATGGACACAAGATTCTCACAGAAATCAGTCAAGTTTGGTGAAGGACAAAGATGGTTTGAGGTTGCATTCAGTAGGGGAGCGTGGAAGAGATCTGTAGAGTGGATGGCAACATCAACAGCCTGAGGTATCAAGACATTTGTGCTGCCCATTTCATGATAAAACACAGGAGAGGGGAAATTCTTCAGCAGGATAGGCATCTTCTTATACTTCAGCCTCAAAGTTTGTGAAAACAAAGAAGGTCAAGGTGCTCCAGGATTGGCCAGCCCAGTCACCAGACATGAACATTGAGCATGTCTGGGGTAAGATGAAGGAGGAGACATTGAAGATGAATCTTGAAGAACTCCAACCGTCGTAACCTCCAAGGAGTCATACGCAATATTAATTCTTTTCCTACTGCACCATGACTTTATATTCTACACTGTACGTTATTTATGTTAAGTGACAAGACATTTGTCTAAGCAAAGTCAGAGCTTACTGTCCCAATTAAATACTTTATTCTTGTAAAAAAAAAAAACATAATCTAGAGGCCTTTGACTTTCATAACAGTCACTTCTGATACCAAATGATCAGCCAGAAGTCAAATTATTATTTGTTGTTCCTAAAACTTGGATAGACAGCAAGACTTCTGTCAGGTAGTGTAGTTAGTTAGCTATAGGACTGACACATCTGTTTTTTTTTTAAAGATTTTCCTCTAAATCAGCCTTAAGAAGCAGAGTTTCATGATAATCTCATTGAAAACTCACAAAGTCAACCAAGGTCTTGTATTTCTTTGCTATGCTACATTTAGCATGGAAAAAAAAGATTTCTTGCTAAAAATGGCAGATCATAGATTGTTTTAGGATGGTAAATTGTTTCAGATTTTTTTTTCACTACGAACTGTTGTAGAGCAAAGTTGGAATCTTGACAGAGTAAAAATGACAATTATTTCTTAAAAAGACTAAAAAGACCAAATAGTTAACCTGCTATTACATGTAGTTCTGCATGTTTATTGCATGGCATTGACTTTGCAGTGGCACTTAGGATATTGACCATTGATTTATTCATCAATCTGAAGAGCTGATGTACATGTAAATGGTGAATGAAGCAAAAGCTCAGCGCTAATGCTGAAGAGTAGCTAACTAAACCTATCACAACATTAGCAGTTTCCAGTAACAAGATACATCTCTCAACAAACAGCAGTAACACAATGCCAGTAATTAAATGCTATTATCTAAATCATGTTTTCCTCCTGTTCATTCAAGTGAGACGGTCCATTGGGATGTAATTAAAATAAATACATAACATAATAAAGTCAATGTGAAGCAAATAGATTTTTTTTGTTTTGCTGTACTATATTTCAACAAGTATATTTGTGTAAGTATATGCACAATTTTAAACACAAGTTTTGAGAATATATAAGTTATCTATGTAGTGTAAGCATATAATTTATTTATCCATATGTACTGTACATGCACATGATTAAAGATATACTATGTACTGTTTTTAAATCAATTTCATATGCTTTCAGCTCATTTCTAAAATAGATAAAATGTATATACAATAAAATTATAAGGTGGGTTTCTTTTTTTTTTTTTTACAAACATAAAATTAAAAATTTATTAAAATATTAATGATTAAAAATCATTTGATGTGATTAAAAAAAGGAGTTAATAAAAGGATCACATTGCTGCCCCAAAATACAAATGCAAATATTTATAAACAACGAAACACAGTACAAGTCTCTAAAACAGGGTATTTGTTACCCTGATGAAGGCAAGTGTTGCCGAAACACGTAGGTGCTGTTTTATAGAATAGCCAAGTTAATAAAAGCTTTTTGAATTTTTTAACTTACTTTTCGACTTAAACTTATGATTTCATTGTTTATCTTTATAAATCCCTTACCCAAAGAGCACAGACACATTACCCATGAAGCCCTTTTGGTTTGATTTTGGATTAAATTATTTATACTTTCTTCCTACTATTTGAACCAACTAGATATTTTTTTTAATAATTTAAAATATATAAAATTTATCATAAAGTACTCATTTAATTATGTATGGGTAAAAGTAAGTGGTTACATTTTATTAGTTACAGTAAATGACAATGGAACATTATTATAGATAGGCTGAGGAGCTCTGTCACCCTGGAGGATGTGTCTGGGGATAGGGAAATCTGGAGTTCTCTCCTAACACAGCTGCCCCCGAGACCCGGACCCTTATAGGGTAAGGAGCTCTGTCACCCTGGAGAAGCCCTGTCACCCTGGAGGAGCTCGTAGTAGAGCCGCTGCTCCACCACATCAAGAGAAATCAGCTGAGGTGGCTTGGGCATCTGTTTTGGATACCTTCTGGACACCTACCTAGGGAGGTGTTCTAGGCATGTCCCACCGGGAGCCGGTCTTGGGTAAGACTAAGGACATGCTGAAGGGACTATGTCTCTTGGCTGGCCTAGGAACGCCTCAGGATCCCCTCAGATGAGCTGGAGGAAGTGTATGTGGTTTTTTCTAAGAAGGACCCATGACCTGGCCCCGGAAAAGCAGATGAAAATGAATGAATGAATGAATGCTTTATATGTATATAAAATCACTTTTGTAAATATAATTTGATTTAAAAATAAAACAAAAGCTTTTCGTTGAGTGTTATTACCTTTTAGTGTAGCCAACTACATGATCAAAGATTATTTTAGTTGCACTTCAAACAACAATTAGCTTTTAGCTTGGCAAGCTAAAGTTTAGAAGTAACTTCTCTAACAAGTTCAGTCAATATGAGAAACTCGGCGCGGTTGCATCAGCGGCAGAGAGCAGAATATAAACGCTCCACTGTTTTTAGAAGTTTGTAATTTACTTCTGAACAGCGCGACCCACATCTGCCAGTTTGACAGCCAAATTTCATATCTTCCTCTTAACACATGTGCTTCATAAATCATCCTGTTCTCCTGCATTATGAGCTGAAGATGATAAATGGTAGCGGTTAGAGGATATCAGAGTATGTGTCTGTCTCTGTGTGTCGCTCCAGGGCAGTGCGGATGGAGACGTGGACAAGAACAAGTGCTGCACGCTCTGCAATATGTCTTTCACTTCAGCGGTGGTGGCCCAGTCACATTACCAGGGCAAGATCCATGCCAAGAGACTCAGGCTCCTGCTGGGGGAACCGGCTGCCATCATGTCTAAAGGTAACATCACATCCACACTGCTTATATGAAGGCAGGACTGGCAGATGCTAATGCAAATGATAATTTTTCCAATCCAGTTATGAATTTACTGTAGTACATATGAAGCATATGTGAGTATAGTAGTAATGCTATGATTATACACAGAGTAGATTATAATTACAGTAATGGATAGACAGTTTAAATAAAGGAGTAATGGTGTATAATTACAGTGACTGTTATATACACGTAGTAATGGTGTAAAACTACAGTGACTGTTATATATACACGCAGTAATGGTGTATAATTACAGTGACTGCTATAGATATACACAAATGAGTATTGGAGTATAATGTTTGTTAATGCACAAAGGAACAATGAGTACAAATACAGTAAAGGTTTTGGATATACATAAAGGTGTAATGGTGTATAATTATAGTAATTGATATGGAGATAAGCAAAAGAGTAATGCATTATATTTTAAGTAATTGTTATGAATACATATGGAGTAATGTAGTATAATTACAGTAATTGTTATGAATAATCATGGAGTAATGTAGTAAAATTACAGGAATTATTATAAATATTTATGGTGTAATGTAGTATAATTACAGTAATTGTTATGAATAATCATGGAGTAATGTAGTAAAATTACAGTAATTGTTATGAATAATTATGGAGTAACATAGTAAAATTACAATAATTGTTATGAATATTCATGGAGTAATGTAGTATAATTACAGTAATTGTTATGAATATTCATAGAGCAATGGAATATAATTACAGTAATAGTTATGAATATATATATATATATATATATATATATATATATATATATATATATATATATATATATGAAGTAATGCAGTATAATCACAGTGAATGTATATGGAGTAATGAAGTGTAATTACAGTAATTGTTATGAATAATCATGAAGTAATGTAGTATAATAACAGTAACGTATGAATGTAAGAGTAATATTCATATATGGAGTAATATTACAGTAATTGATATGAATATTTATGGAGTAATGGAGTATATTTACAGTAATTGTTAGCAATATATTCATGCAATTAAGTAGTATAATTACAGTAATTGTTATGAATGCATGGAGTAATGAGTATAATTGCAGTAATTGTTATGAATATTTGTAGATTAATGAGTAAAATTACAGTTATTTTTATGAACAGTCATGGGCTAGTGAGTATAATTATAGTAATTGTTATGATTATACATGGAGTAATAAAATTACAGTAATTGTTATGAATAATCATGGAGTAATGTAGTATAATTAAAGTTACAGTTATTAAACTATAGCATTTGTATTTTTCCTCTTTTATTAATTTTATTGAAGACAATTTGTCATATATGGTTGTGAAATAGTGAATATAGATATATCTGTTAGTGATTTGGCATATAGAATATCATGACAAATATTAAAGTCAAACCATGTGAATTATTTTGTGCAATTTTTTTTTTTTCTGAATGAATGCCAGACTGTTCCTGGATCAGAAAATATACTTTAGCGCGTTTTAAACGCATGCAGTGTCCTAGGCAAGCAGCCTTCAGAAAAATGACCTGTTCAACAATGAATGGACTCTGAATATAATATAATGAGGCAATTTATTCTTGAGAATGCCTTCATTATTATTAATGCTCAAGTTATGAGCTATTATTGATGTCTGATGAGATATTATATGATATATGACTACTGCTCATAAAGTTAGGGGCTTTTAAAAAAAATCATGGGTACTTAACATGCCACACAATGCATAAAATCTTCTAAGAAGACAAACACAGAAACAAAAGAATACACAAACAACTGCATAGAAACCCACAGTAAACCACTGGACTTAGTATTCAGATCACAGGAAAAACCATGCATATTCTCACTAGGGTGAATTGTTTTTAAGGATTGTATTATGGAACTTGTTTTGTATTCAACAGAAAAATATATATACTCATAAAGGTTTATGACCACTAAAGGATGAGTAAATACTGACCAAATATTAATTTTCGGGTGAACCATCCCTTTAAAAGCATTTCAGGTGGGGAACATAATTCATGTCTACTTTCATAAGATGATACATATCAATATGATTGTTACATTAGCATTAGAAAATCCTATTACAGTTAGAGCTACAGTAAATCTAAGGTAAAAGTTGGTAGTTTGTTGAATGTCAAGCCATTTAACAGTTATTTTTTAGAGACTTTTTAGGTTTCCTTTAGAGAACTCATTATTTAGTTCTTGAAACATAAATAGCTGATAATTTTTTTCTATGTTTGGCATCATATTATTGTGCACAAAAATTAAATAAACACATTTCATAGAGAAATGAACCAGATAAGATGATAATTAGCACACAGACCAATGGTAGTGTGAAGCTTTAATTCTCTCATTCCTAAAGCAATCTCCAATCCAACCTAAGTTTGGTCTAATTTTGTTCAAAATGATGCCACGTCTGCTTATGTCTTGAAGTAAAGTGTAGATTGTTTTCATGATGCATCGTCATCAGCCACATTGAAAAGCAAAACATAAATAATGCCACTGAAGGGAAAAAACAAACATATCTTGTTGCTGTGAAAAATCTTTTTTTGGGCTGCACTAATTGGTTGGCCAGAAAAAAAACAAAAAACATTGAGTACTATTGACTGCAAAAATTATTACAAATCAACCAGAAGAGTGAAAAAAAAAGAACAAAAGGTGTTTGTGGTTGATGTCTGAAGAACAAACATGGTTGTTGTGTGTGGTTGGCCAAACTATACCTGGATTTCCATGGCTAGAATCCTGAAAACATTGATGCTTGTTCTCATTTTTACTCAAGTGAGTGAAATATTAGGCTACTATCTGTATTATTACTGCTCATATGCATCTTTTATCAGCCGTTTAATTCAGTTAGTCAAAATATTGTAAATTTTTCTGCTAACTAAGTCTTTCTCTATATGATTTACCAGCTTCCACACATTTTTTCCATGTTTAGACAGTGTAAAAGCAGAACACCAGTTTACCAGTATGACCATGCATACAGGTAACTGACCGAATCTTGACCTAAGTGTAAATACTTTAATAAGGCAGGGTCTTTAACAACAACAACAACCACAAAATGATTAGCTTCTTTGAGGTATATCTGTGCTATATTCTGTATACCATATACATACTGCATACTGTTTTTATTCAGTCAAATGTGCATGCATTTGGAACATTAGAGGTCTGTGTTCGCAATACTTCCACTCGTGGCTTGTTTTATGGTAAGAGCAGGGTCTTTAGCAGGAACAACACATCACTTAGCATGCATAATTACGCATGGCCAAGACACCAGAGGGTGCGAAATGACCCAAAAAAAGCAAAAAAAAGCAAAATACCATCATAAAAACAGAGAAATTAGGAGTGTATGACCTCATATTAGGTTTGTAAAGCTACAAGTCATTTCTTTAATATTTTTCTTATGATGGTTCACAGTCTTTTAACACCCTGATAGCAACAGTAATTAAGCAGTCAATCAATTATATGCATCGTCTGGGGAATGCTGAGGCTATAAAATGTTCCAGTCCAGTAGTTTTTGTCATCCTACTGTATGTATCGGTATACCTCCACAATGTCTGTACACAAAGGCTGTAGTTATGCTAGTGGGTTTTTGTTTTAAAATGGTATTTTAGAATGAAAATGCACCTTGTCCCAACTGGTGTTTTAAAATGTGTTCAATAAAATGATCTCTATCCACACTGCACAGCCTAAAACACATGATATGTGACTATGCACACACATTGGAAATGCACATTTTACTGGCATCAACACTTGCAGTCTAATGGCTGCATAACGGTCATATGATCAGGGCTTGACGAATCAGGGAATGATAGAAGTAATTCCAGCATTATGGATGTGACATTTACAGTTAAAACTATATTTTCCACAACAACTAACCACAGAGTTATAAAAAATATACATAAACATGTGTTATGGATGTGACCAAAAAAGTCTGCAAAAAAAAAAAAAGTTTACAACATACTTTGTAGAAATTCTGGAAATTAAACTGCACAACCCCAAAGAAAAAATGCTTATCAAAAGCAGAGAGTTGATTCACTATAAAATAAAAACCATTGATTTCATTATTGATGTGACTTCTCTTTGCTATGGATGTGACAGATGTAAAATTGCCACTTGTGCAACTTTGATAAATCAAATATAATTGCTTGAAAACATTGAAAGAGACATTTTTTAAACATTTTTACAGTACTGTAAAATAAAAAAATTTATTTTTTTGGTGAAAACTTTTTTCATGGCAAGGTTGACATTTGCATATAGAAATGCCATACGCAATACTTTGCATTCCATTCCAAATACACTGAAATTGATCATTTCTAAACAAACACAGGATTTTTTGCATTAACAAAATGGTCAGATTTCACAGGTCGAAGATGCTGGAGTTGTGTGGATGCCAGGTGTAACCGCAACAATGTATGTGACTTAAAATGAAAATGCATTAGTGTAAATGTCATTATAGTGGGACAGACACAGTGGCATCTTACTCTTCGTGTTTTTAAGCTGATTTATTGGTTTTGATATGGATTTTGAGTCTGATAACAAAACCAAAAAGAAAACAAATATAGACAACTTGTTCGATTTCAAAACCATATTTGGTATAATATTTGGAAAGTGATCTTAATAGTATTTGAAATGAATCAATTGGCTAAAATAATACATAATTTATCTGCAAATTTCTACAGTGGGGGAAAAAGTGGGTGTGGGGGGTATTCTAAAAGAGCTGTTGACTTGGAATTGAACCAGATTTTGGTAAAACCTAAATATAAAACAATACAAATATAAATAAAGTTATCATCACCTTAGAATTATAAGGTTCTATCAGACATTTTTTCTCAAAATTTAGTTATTCACATATTCTTACACATACTGTTTGCTATGGAATGCGCAAACTTTAAAGCTCAAAATCTTAAAATCATTTAGAATGCAGATAGAACCTTATAATTCCAAGGTGACGTTATGTGTATTAACAATAAAATGATGG